AACATCCCAACCTTTTGACATGACTCTGTGTTCTCTCATTATTTGACAGCAATCAAATGCTTTCTGATCATATCACTCATAAAAGAAAGGATAGGTGGCACTGATGCAATTAAAACCTAGAGAGGAAGTTTAGTCTCTCCCAGCAGGAATATCTTGGCTACTTCCTCAGCATGTGATGAAGTGCCAATTGAGCACCTCCTACAAGAACAGCAACCAAACACTATCTGCTAATGTGTCTAGCGGCTGCTTCCTGATATGACTGTATATATCCATGTCAAAATTAGCTTGGTGACTTCATATTTTATTTTGCTTACATTTTATCCAGATCATCATAGCTTCCTGTACTTACAATGCAATTTTCTTCTCAGAAAATCTGTTCCTAATCTGCACATGCAAAGATGTTAAATAACCATGCACCACTCACTTCAAAACAGATGGCTTCTCAGCGCTCCCTTGAATTCCTGCTTACTAGGCATTCCTGCAAGGCTCTTTGTGCTTTGCCTAACGGCAACACTCGGTTTGTAGAACTGATTTTACAGTCCTTACGGCAGAGAAACTGGACCAGTTCATCAAACTATTATTTTTTCATGTGAAGTCCAGTTTAAGAAATGGAAAGTCATAACTCAGAACTTGGTAAATTGTTTTTGTAAAAAAAAAATTAGTTATAGTAATTAATAATTAGTTATAGTAATTAGTTATAGTTCCAAGACTTGACAGTTAGGGTGTGACTACATTGACATTTAATGTGGAAACTGCTCTGGGAGTGGGATGGTCAAACTGGATTCACAGTTTCCCTTGCTAATCACACGGTGTAAAAGCCAATGTCAATCACCTGAGATATTTGCCCCACCCCCATCCATAGTATTTTCCTCCACTGTTGGGGCTGCTACTTTTTTTGACAAGAGATCTATTCACATCAGAAGCATGATTGCTTGAGCCAATGTGGAAAGGTTTGCAGCCATTGTACCTGAAGCTATTCCAGATGGCTCCAGTCGGAATGAGAGAGCAGGGCTGTATGGAAAATGACAGCCAGTTGAATCCTCTCCTCACACCGTGTCTTGGTCTGCTTGTTACCCTATTCCTTTCCCATTCCATTCCATTCCAGTCTTTCCATTTTTCTTTTAAATACTTGCTGGCCTAGTACTAGGCGAGCAGGTCAATGGGGTGGTGGGGGTGGGTAGGATGGGACATTTTATGGCAGCTCTGCTCTAAGTAGGCCAGCTGTAAATCTGGACGGCCAGAGCACAGGAGAACTATCTTAAGAAGCTGCAAATAAGTCAAATGTCCTCCTTCCTCTCTGTAAACTCCCCCTCCCCATGTTTAGTCAGCCAGCTGGCCTAGCACAAGTCTTTAAAAGAAATAGAAAAATAAAGAAAGCAATAAAAAGAACAGGAAGGGAAGAGAGAAACAAGCAGATGATGCACAGTGTGTGAGGAGAGGATTCAAATGGTTACCATGCTGCAAATGAGGCTGATTCCCTCTTTTTTCTCTGCTGACTCCTGTGTGGTTGGCAGAAGCAAATTAACATGGGAAAATTCAACTTCCCAGTGCAACTTCACAGCAGATTTATTAACATTTTTCCTGCTGTGTAGTCACATCCTTTGTTAGCTTCTTTTGCAGTTAGAAGTTTAAAAATGTTTTACTTTCCCATTTTCCCAAAGTAACTAAAAAAGCCACACTTTTAGTTACTTTAAGAATGTGAACTACTGGCCTGTAATATGAAACACATGACTTCTAGCCACCTCAACATTTAGAACACTGCATCACCTAGCACTCTGTTGGACAAAGAGGCTGCTCCCATAAGTATATAACTAAGTAACTATTTACATATAAACTATAAAATGAGTGAAGTTATGCATCATTATGTTACAACCATAATATAACTAAATTGTATCTTAGTTGCAAATAATTATTCTAACTAGTTGCTTCCAACTTCTGAATATGATTTAGGAATGCAGACTGCAACTGTCCTTGTGTTGGCTTTGATTACAAATTACTAGAGGTAGATATTACAGTAATAAATACAACAGTGTAATCCACTGAAATCGAAAGGGCAAAAAATGCTCTGCTTTTATCGAGCAGTTCCTGCTCTTGAGTTTAGATGGCTTGGATAATAAGTTAAAATTAAACACCATTATATGATAAGTCTACAAACTCATATTATTTCATATTAGTGTATTTCCAACGGAGTACCACAAGATGCTTAGCGCAGGCTTCTAGGAGCCACTGTAATATCTAAACCCAATTTCCTACTTGTCTGGATATTGAATTTACTAGCTGGGGTGATTCAAAGTCCATTCTGAGACACAGAGACAGTGAACCTCCAGTTCCTTCTTCATATTTCTGTTTCTAGTGTAAGGGTCAGATAGTTGTCTGGAATGTGCAACTTTATGCAGCTGCTCACAAGGCACAGTTTCCTTATGATCTGGTCATAAGATTTGAGGGTAAAATATATTTGTGGAAGAACAGCTGTTCAGATTCAGTTTCCCCATTGATATTTTGTTACTGCCACGAGGAGCATGGGCACCCCATTAGGAAGAACGGAGAACCCATCATCTCTTATCAGACATTCTCCCAAAGGTCCAGCTACATTGTATTTATTTATTTATTTCCATTCCTATACCACCCCATTAGTGCTGCCACTGTTTGGGCAGTTCACAATGTATGGTGAAATCATAAAATAAAACTGCAAAGATATATTAAAATACAAAAAACAAACAAACCCCAACACTGTCACTAAAAAAACTTTAAATAAAAATATGCAAATTAAAAAAACATTTGAACATCTCAAGACAATATTTATACCAGTAGACGTCAGCTTCATATAATTTGGTCTTAATTTGCCTCCTAAAAATAAAGAGGGTTGGTGCATGGTGAACCCCTGTAGGAAGCTCGTTCCATATGGAAGGGGCCACCACCAAGCAAGCTTGGTTCTTTGTGCCGGCTTTTTTGGACTGCTTAGGTGTCACAATTTTTGACATGAAGAACTGGGAAAAGCATGTTAGATGGGTAGTTATTTTGTGGGAGAAATGTTCCACCTGATATCAACCCAGAGTGCCTCAGTACACATCGTATGGTATATCAATGTCACTGGAATGCCAGATACAGTGCACCTCAAAAACTGTGAGCCTAGGAGGGAGGCTTGTTCTGAAACAAAAGGGGGGAGGGCTGCAACCCTACAACTCATTCCCTTGGATTACCTCTCCCAGATTCAAACTGTCTGGATTGCTGCTTAGGGGAATCTGCCTCCTAATGACTGAAGATGGTAGTACAGGGCTTCAAATAAAGCAGCACATTTTAATTAATCAAAAGTACTGATTTTCAGAACTAAATCACACCCAGATACTAACCCCAGCGTTCCATTAGTATTTAGCCCAAATTACAGGTGTCTAGGTTTCATGGTATCATTTATTAAATTTTAAAATAAAGTGTTTCCAGATTTTATCATATGAAATAATATATAAATGCTATACAATAATTAAAATAAATACAGTGGCTGAAATTCAGTTGGCATACACCATGCAAATCTGATGTCATCATCACCTACAGTGACTATTTTTATTTTGAAAGTAAACATTTTTTGCTTCTCTCCTGAAGATTCTGAGGCTCCTATGTAATCCCTTTCTCCATTGGGAAACTGTGGGGGCTGTGGGAGAGAAGGGGGTAGCCTTTAATGACTGAAAAGAGTTGCTATTGGGATGACTTTACCACCAGCAGCTATCTTCAACAATTAAAGACTTTCCATTCCATCTTGACACTGGAAGGGGTTACATGGGAGTCTCCAGACCACTGAGTCAGGACTATTGGGAGGGGGACCTGACACAATTGACAACATCATCAGTTTTACATGGCATTAAATTATGCCAACAAGATTTCAGTTGATATGTATTTGAAAATGCTCCCTCCTGGAGGCAGTGGAAGACAGGAGGGCCTGGCGTGCTCTGGTCCATAGGGTCACAAAGAGTCGGCCATGACTTAAGGACTAAACAACAACAACCATCAGAGGACAGGGAAAGTATGTGGAAAAGAAACCACAGAACTACATTTGGACAAATTATACCTATTATCTTAGATTATGCAAAATGCCATACTCATTTCCTTTGTTATTTACAAGCAATCAAGGACTAAATCATGTTTTTCAACATGTTTTATCACTTCTTCACTTGTTTTGTAAATTTTGCCCTTTGTAGGTTTTTTTAACAATCCTGCCACCGATCATGAAAAAATTTAAATTAGTGATGAGAGAAAGTAATCATCTCTGCATTCAAAGGTCCTTTTGGAACTTCTTTTAGCAATGGCCTTTAACTGTTGGAAATTACAACACAAACCTACTTACACTTACTTACATCTACCTTACTGCTTTGAACATGTTTTGGCATTGCTTATGCTTTTTAATATAGTATTAATTTGATCTTTTTTAGTATTTGCCTACTGTTATAAACTTTAAATTTTGTCCTTTAATAATGTGAGCTGCTTTGGGTCCTTTTTAAGGAGAAAGGTGGGATATAAATAAACGAATGTAAGCTCCAGTGAGCATAGCATTATAGAGGCACAGGCTCTCTCCCCCCCCCCCTTGCAGGGGATTTTAATGCAACATTTCTCTTTCGATGGTCAAACATTGTTAGGACACTTTTTAATATTCAAATACAAAAACAGGCGATACCTTATATTTAGTCTACAACCCTATATCCACTCACTGTTGGAATACATCGTACTTATTTCGGCACAGAGATGCATAGAAATCTTTGCAATTTTAACTTTGCAATTTTAACACCGGAGGGATGTTTCTGCGGCTGTCAACTAAGTGTAGTCGCTGGATACTACCTAGAATTATTCCTGGGCTATTAAAGCCGCCCATACCCAACCGCCTCAACGCATAGCGCCCTTCTCCCTTCCACCACAATGACTGTCACTGCTGTCCGAACAGCTGTTCCGATTATATTCGCTTCCTATATATATACAATGTATTTGTGTGCCTGACGTCTATGGGGCGAGCCAGAGAGGAGGCGGAAGTGACGTCTTAAGCGGGCGCTGAAGTAGGGACCCTTCCTTAGCCCGCGAGTGTGTCGGGGGAGGAAGAAGAGGATGAATAGCCGGTTGCAAGAGATCAGAGAGAGGCAGAAGTTGCGCCGGCAGCTCCTGGCTCAGCAGGTAACGAAAGACCCGTTACCGGAATGATCGTTACCGGACGGAGACCCAGAAAAAAGAGGTCGTTCCTTGTCCAGGCTCAGTGGCATGCTCCTGATTCAGATTGTGCGCGGCGGCGGCGGCGGAGGGATGTTAGGGGCAAATGCTTGGCACTGCCGCTGCCCTGGAGGTGAAGGGTGGTGCAAAGCGCTACTTAGTGCAGGATCCGTCCCTACAGGTACCCAAACTTTAGGTGTGGGGGGAGAAGCTTTCTGGTTTTGTGCAGCGCCTAGCACGTGATTAGGCGCTCTCTAGAAACAGCCAAACGTTGTGCTGCTGGTGTTTCCCTGATTAGTCTTTCTAAAATGATTTCACACTTTGTCTCCTAAGACAGATTTGTAATTTAGGGTACAGTGAGCTGAAACTGTGATCTGTACTGGATAGAGAGCAAGGGGCAGAGGAAGCTCCAGTCATATATTTTCAGACCAGCTGTAATTACAAGGATGTTGTGAGAAGAAAAGGAGGGGCTTTAGTTTCCCAACACTCCAGGTGTCCCTGAGTTTTGTTTTGTTTTTGTGTTTTTTTGGAAGAACTATAGAATGAAAATATAGGAATAGTGATAAAAATACGTACACTGGATATCAGAGGGTAAAAAACAGGAAAGTTGATGATACTGGCCTAGAGCTGGGCACTGAATATCAGAGGGTAAAAGACGGGAAAGTTGATGATACTGGCCTAGAGCTGGGTACTTTTTAAAAAAAGTATTTGTGTGGCCCAAGAAATTCAAATTTTCACAGTACCTGCTGTCCTCAATACCACATGTTTATGCAGACTGGGTGGGTTATGAAAGGGGAAAGCATGATCTGTTTCCACTGATAATGCAGTATCAAACCATTACCTTTACTATAGATCATTTTAGTTGTATATTACATGTGACTGTAATGTGTACAAATAGAGCTTCTAGAATGCATTTGTCCACTGTGTGTATGTGCATGAATGTGCTCCGTTGCCACAAAATTTCTAACCCTATGCAGAAGGGCAGAAAATTGTTAGGATTAATAGTCTGACAACACTAATATAGAAAAAATGCACTGAAGTTTTACAAAAGAGGCATACTTATTTTCCATCTGGGATGATATTCCTCTTGATCCACAGCATGTTGTAATAGTCTGACAACAGTAATATAGAAAAAATGCACTGATGTTTTACAAAAGAGGCATACTTATTTTACATTTGGGATCATGATATTCCTCTTGATCCACAGCATGTTGATAAGGTTTTTACTAAATGTAGGTTTGTACAGAACAGTTCCAAGTGTATTTATCTTGATGTGTAACATCCAGCCTTATATACCCATACGTAGTTATAGTTTTCTATTTGGATGAACAATGCTTTATACAGAAACGTCTAGTCTGTGAAGCTACTGACCAAAAATGACGATTTGTAGCCTCATTCTATTTTACAATATATAAAAAAGTACTCATCCCTTTGTCACTTTCATTATTGTTTGGGTAGCCCACTTTGTTTCTGTACTATACTGGTATCATTTCTATACTCTGCTGGCATTGAGACTTCCCTCAGACAGAGTTCTAACTCCAGTCCTCTGAAGATGCCGGCCACAGAGACTGGTGAAACATTAGGAAGAAAAACACCCAGAACACAGCCAAACAGCCTGAAAAACCTAAAACAACTTCCCTCTTTGTTTTCAACTTAGAAGTAAAGGGAGCTGACAGTGAAACAAAAAAAAAATTCTAAACACCTCCAGCCTGCACTGGTTTTATGCTATATATGTAACAGGCAACCTTTCTGTTCATCCAGCCCAGAAATGCAGGAGGTTTTTGGCAAAAAGATAAGAGTGATTGGTGCCACTGCTATTGGCCTGCTTAGGTTTTGTTGGCCTTTTACTGAATATGCAGAGTGTGGCTTCGCATCTAGCATAGGAACTGGGTGAGTGGTGGCAGAGACAGGCAATCTGTACTTTTGCCATCAGCTCAGTGTCAGGCATGCAAGAAGCAAAGCTCCGTTTTTTGTGTCCAGTGTATAAATCCGGTGGGCTGATGGCAGAAACAGCAGATGCTCCGTTCTGCTGCTTGCCAGCCTGTTAGACTTCTAGCTTACAAAATGTTTAACAAGTCCACGTTTTTCCAAAAGAGTGTGAATGAATGCTTTGTTGCTCCTGCACCAGCATGAGAGTACCCCCCCTTTTTTTAAATTTAGAAAGTAAATTAGCAATCTGGGCAAATAATTAACAATGCTTTCTGTATTTCAAATCTCATGTGATCTGGGAATTGCTTAGGTAGACTTAGCAACGTGCTGTTCTCTCAACATTGACTATTTAATTTGAAAGAATATTCTTAGTTTGCTTTAAAGCTTACAGTAATAAAATTACATGTGTGGACTGCATTGAACACTGCTGTATAATTTAAATAATTTATTATTATTGCCTTTACATGAGATCCATAGCTAAGCCACTGGACCACCTTTCTTTAGCTCTCCACTTCCCACTCCAGTCTTTAGTACCACCTGAAAATCTGCTCCAGAGGGTACAGAGGTGTCTTCAGAGGAAGAAGGCATAGGTATTTGTTCCACTGATGTCAGTAGTTAGAGTAATAGAAAATGTCCATCATATTTCCATGTCCACAACAAGAAACAAAGGATGCCTTTAAATCCTTTCAGAATTAGTAGTAGGCATCCTTCAGTCTCGAGAGACTATTGTAACATGCTCTGTATGGAGGTTTTGGAACAGTGTCTAGTGTGGCTGAGAAGGCCAGTTCGAGAGTGACAATCCCTTCCACTCTGAAGAAAAATACAATCTGTACCCTGTCCAGCTCTCTGGTTTTGCTGGTTTCAGGACTGCCTCTTTGCCTCAGCCTGCTGTACAAGTGTATCTTCAAATTGAGAGAGGCCATGATGCACCACCTGCCTCCAGGCTGAACGCTAAGACATCAAGGTTTCCCATCTGTTGAGGTCCATTCCTAAGGCCTTAAGATCCCACTTGCAGATATCCTTGTATCGCAGCTGTGGTCTCCCTCTGGGGTGATTTCCCCGCATTAATTCTCCATACAGGAGATCTTTTGGAATCCGACCATCAGCCATTCCCACGACATGCCCAAGCCAACATAGGCATCACTGTTTCAGTAATGTATACATGCTAAAATTTTCAACTTGTTCTAGGACCACTCTATTTGGAACTTTGTCCTGCCAGGTGATACCAAAAATGCATCAGAGACAACGCATATGGAACATGTTCA